TTAACATATCATAACAATTTAATCAATTTAGCACTGAGCATAACATCATATCAGCATTCACACAACATAACAAACACACTTATCTCAGCAATCATTTACAACTTAGCTTAATAGCCTATTATTCACGCAGTACGACTCGCCTATAACTCACTCAAGTATCATATATCAAGTTTCCTACATCTGTCATGTCTAAGAACCGAGGTGATCAAGCTCGTTCCCTCACAATTTGATGAATAGAAATTATGATATATGATTCACATCTAACACTCACATGCCTAATATGCGCAGTTGACGCCTAACAACCTCACCCCGTAGGTTTACCTAAACCAGTTTCTGATACTACTAAAATGTCATGGCCCCTTTTATAAGGAATTGAGAACATTATTTCTACACCACATACTTATTTAAGATAGATAAATAATAAAGAATATAAGTATAAAATTTACTTCTCATTCAAAATAAAACAAAGTTTCTTACAACAAATATCCAATAGAACAACATAATATTACATTTAGTTCATAATATTCAAAATATACAAAATTATACTACGTAGCTCCCTCTACATGAGGTCTCAAAATATAAGGAAAAAGAACTTTGATACAAAATTACTCGACTCCAGCTTCTAACATTTCTCCATTGGCCCTTCAGCCTGTGAAGTAGACGCAACACCTGCTACATCTGCTCACGTACCACCGTACGACATTGCAGTACACACGCACACAACGACATAGACTGAAATGCAAGGGTGAACTTACAAAAATAAAATAAAATTGTATATATAGAGCAAAATATTACTCACAGCAATAGCCCCATACATTACCAACCCATCTAATGCATAGCATGAAAACGGTTTCCAACTGGTTTCACAACCTAAGTAATCTAGAAGGAAGTTAGCCGGTCTGAGAGCGACTCATTTCAATATCTGGATTCAGACAGCACAACACAACAGCTCAGCATGAACTTACCATTATACGTCTACCCATCTAAACATGCAACTCGGCTTTATAATTATGCAAAACATATATCTCAGCATGATGCAGCACCGCTAAAATTGTTTTAACAACTCAACTAAGACAAGTTTATGATAGATCAGTCAAAATCTCAGCATTTTAATCAATTAACAGCAGTTACAGCTTAGAAAATAGCATTTATTCAATAGATCTAACAAAATCATATCAAAATATCTTGAAATAGCATATTAAACCGTTCAAAATGTAGTTCATAGGTTAAAGTAAGCTCTCCTTACCTTAGAATGGTGACTCACTCTAGATTTACCGAATATTACTTGTTTTATCGCAAGATTAACCGAAGATTTGGCTTTAGAATGGAGTTTCTCCTAAGAACACCATGAACTTGTACAAGAAAGAGAAGGAGAAGAGAAACGAATGGTGAATCTAGCTTCAAACTTAAAAAAACTTACTTCAAATCCCTTAGAACGACCGCAAAATCACATATCTGGAGAAAAATATAAGTTTATGAGGGTTTAAGATGAGAGAAAATGGTGGTATATAGCCTTAGAACCTTTGAAAACCTTGGATAGGAGTGAAGAAATGAAAAATTCGTATGAAGCCCTCTTTTTATAGAAATTTTTTGAAATTTACTGTTCACTGCCGGAAACACTGTTCGTACCGAATACACTTTTTAGGACATTATTCAAGTCAGAAATACTGTGCACACGTACTGTACACGTATGTGATGTCAGGGTGACGTCATTGATGACGTTATGGTATGTCACTGTTCACCGACACTGTTCACGTCACTGTTTATTTTTATTTTTATTTATAAATAATTTCAAACTCCATCTAAATCTATTTCAATACCAAATAATCTTTCAATTAACATTTAACAAGTATGAAATAATATAGATTACTCAATAATAGATTACAAGCTTGACATAATGTGATCGATAATGTGTTGACATGCTCTTGGTTGATGATGAATAATACGAAATGGGTGAGAATATGTGTGAATGGCATGTTGAGTGTGATTGTGATTGTGTTTGAAATGTTGGAAAAACTATGAATTGTTACGGCGATACACTGGGAGCATGGAAGATGGAGCGATAGAAATACCTTCATAAAGAGAAGGTATGGTGGTGACACCAACAGTGAGCGTGGATGCACCACAGGCTACACACTCTCCACTTGAATCAGCCTCTGACTAACACCTTTCCTAAGAGACCCATGACCGCGCACGTCGTATTTGTGAGGCAGGGGCTAATCGGCGACCACCCATGGTGTGAAACTGCGTAAGTCCCTGAGGTTGAGGTCATCAAAAATTTGTGATCACAATACCACAGTGAGCATGGCTACGTGCAGTGAGTGCACATATGTGTGGATTGACTAATGGTGCAATAAGCGCACTTGTTTGTAGATTGGAATGAAATGTTGAGAAATGTTATTATCTGTGTTGGTAGATGCATGATTTGAATTATGTTAGCAAATGTGTGAAATGTGCAAGATAAGTCTCTATGCTTGTGTGTGTGTGTGTGATAATATAAAGTACTCACCATTACATTTATTTTTCAAGTAATCAAAACGATCAGCACAAGGCTTAATGAAGGGATGGATGAAATTGCTATGAGGCTTAGAAAATTCTTTTGAAATTGTGACATATTAATTAAGTCCTGTAACAATGACTCGATTCAAACTTGTAATCCATCTTTATTTTAAAATACTTTAGTGAAACCATATATTGGAATCCATTTGAATGAAATTTTTATTATTTTCATTATTGTGAAATTAATTTATTTGAAAATATTAAAAATTAACTTAAGGTGTTACAGCTTGACCTAACTTGAAGCTCATTAACAAAGCCTGCTACAAAAAAAAACTATCTTAATATTAATGAAAATATAAATAACTTATTATAAAATTAGTTTACATATATTTTTTAATTTCTATTTGTGCTATTGACAATTATTAAATAATTATAATAATTTTTATATAATTTTTAAAATATTATTTAAGCATTAATTATAAATATTTCATATTATAAAATTTTTATATTTTTATTTTTCTTGATTTATTTTTAAAAAACTATTAAATTATTAAAGATTTTAATATTTTTTATGAAGATCATATTTTATTTGTTTTAAAGACATCTTATATTCAATAAATAAAATTATAGTGAACACATAAAATTAATCACAAAAAATAACATTCAAAAAATTTGTTTAATCAGCTAAAAGAAAATTATTGTATTTTAAAAAATAAATAAATTTAAACTCAATGCAATACATACATATATATATATATATATATATATATATATATATAATATGACAATAATAATAACTATTAAATTAAAAAAATAAAATATTTATAAAATATTTAATTTTATTTACTTCATTAATTTGTTATTTTAAATTAATAAATATACATAAAATTAACTACATTATAACATTAATGTAATATAGAAAAATATTACTGATACAGTAAATTAAAACATATACTTATATATTACATATAAATTGAGCATCAACTATAAATATTTTCATATTATAAAATTTTTATATATTTATTTTTTTAATTTATTTATATAAAATTATTAAAGTTTTAAAGATTTTAATTATTTTTTATAATAATTATATTTTATTTGTGTAAAGACATCTTATATTCAATAAATAAAATAACAGTAAATACATAAAATTGATAACAAAAAAATAACAGTTACAAAATTTATTGAATCAACTAAAAAAATTATCATATTTAAATAAATAAATAAATATCATTATTTTTAAAATTATAAATATAAAATATTTATATTATAAAATTCATGAAGGCGAAAAAATAACATATGATCATAGTAAGAATTAATAATATTTATATTTAAATTAAAATAACTTATATTTTTAATCTTTTATCTTAATAAAAAATATGATGTAAAACTTAATATAAAAATTTAAATTCAATGCAATATATATAATATGACAATAATATAACTATTAAATTAAAAATAATTATAAATATTTAATTTTATTTATTTTATTAATTTATTATTATAAATTAACAAATATACGTAAAATTAACTACATTATAACATTAATATAATATAATAAATATTACTAATACAATACATGACAACATGTATTTATATATTATATATAAATTGATAAATTAATTAATAATTTAATTTTTTATTTATACTTTTGCATGTAAATATTTACTAATTATTAAATTTCAAATGTATACTAACAACTATATTTTTTAAGAAAAAAAATTATCTATATTTATATCAAATTCGTTAAAAATAATTATTTAAAATTTTACATAGTTATATTTAGATGTGTGGCTGAATGTTGTGGACTTGTTTCAAAGAAAAAGATAAAGTTTTTTAATGGCATAATTCCAGTGCCTTTCATAGATTTCAAGGGCAGTGTCGTCGTCTGATATTGCTAAAAGGTCTTGTAGAACAATTCTCTAACATAAAATTACATATATCCATGTTGAAACCTCCTTCCAATCTGAATGAGGTCTTTTCTATAATCATTGAACAAGAAAAACAATTATCTACCAATGCTTGTTCCAAATTAATACCACTTGCTCATGAAAAAAAAAAATCAAGAAAATAAGGTGGCAACAATTGCAAACTCACAAGTCCAAATATTACTTGCAGGAAAAAAAAGTGATGATGTAATAAAATTATAAAAAAATTCAAATAAATTCATTGAAGTCTAATGTCACAAAATATTATTAAAATTATGAAAATTAAGTTTAATTGACATCTAATAAAATTTATTACAAACTTAAAATAATTAATTAAAAAGTAATTAATCAGTACCCACGACTACTATTTAAATCAAATATTGACAAAACTGACATTAACGTCACTGTGACAGCAAATGTCTTTGTCAACTGACTCTCCTCTACGCACTATAAGGCTGCGTTTGGTTGTCACAGAGGGATACTAGGACAGAGACACAGAGGCACACGTATCATGTTTAGCGAGTGTCCCGCTTGAGAGACAGAGACACAAAGGACACATGAGACACAAATTTGATGGACACTAGCGTACATTGTGAAAATAGGGACACTAGTGTCCCAGTTGTAGGGACACAAAGAAGTAATTTTTGAAGACAAAAATGCCCCTACTAGCTTTAAAATATTACATTCCTACCCTTGGTGCTACATTTCTCTTCTTCATCATCTTCAACCCTAGTCGTGTCTGCAACCATCTACTTCAACCGAGAGGACCCAAACCGCATCGCCATTGCACCTGCAGCTGAGGTAATGTTTGTCTTCGTTCATCAATCTTTACGATGAGTTCTTTCAATTTCCAATTGCTCTCATCTCTTATGACATCTCTTTTTTGTTTTTGTTCTCCATTTAGGCTCTTTGTGGTGACCATTTGTGAGGATCCTTTGGAAAAGGTAACAACTGCTCATTGCAATCTACTTTTCATGGATAACTTTTACTGTTTTTAGTTTTTGAACATTGTTTCAAATGTTTTATTGTTGCTATTTCTTCCTGCATAATATTGGTTGGGTGTTTATGTAGCGTATGATTTATTTGTAAATTTTCCTTTCCATGTTTAACAGTTGTAGCTTGAAATGGATGTGTCAGTGTCACTATTTTCAGTTCTTGAACATTGTTTCAAATGTTGTTTTGTTGCTGCTTCTTCCTTGCATAATATTGGTTGGGTGTCTATATAGCTGGTTATCGAGTTATAAATTTTGCTTTCCATTTTTAACGCTTGTGTAATAATTCCATTCTTTTCCTTGAAGAGAGCAGTTGCATACATTTTTGTTGACCTCCAATTAATCACAAACTTCCCATAGCAGTTATAGTTGTGATTCAGTAACCTGTAAAACAAATACATAGCCCAAAACAATTAGTCATTTACAACCTCTGTTTTGGTTATCTTGTTTTGATATATAATTGTAATGCTAATTTGTATTTGGACAATGACACAAATATTCATAGTACTTGTGAAGTACATTTTTGCTATTGGAATTTTTGTTTGTCTAGTTAAACTTGGAGTGTGTATAAATGGTTCTTGTTATAAGTGCAAAATCGAGTAGACAAATCATTTTTCATTGTTCAACAGCATACCATCCAAGCCAAACTTCTAAATTTGGTATGTTATACCAAAAAAGGACTAGTCATTTGACATTCTGCACTTTGGACAAAATTTGTGTTGCTTAATAGGAAGGGAAGATGCCAGCATCAACAGCTGCTACCGTAACCCGGAAGCTTCGTCGATCAACTGATGATGCTAGCATGGAGAGGTTAGCTGACCGATTCAATACAGCTCAATGAGAGGACATCAAAATTTTGGCTGATGCAATTACTAGCTTGAATCCACAGTCCGATATCGGGACAATGTTGGATAGCCTAGGTTTCACTCCGGACGAGGTCATACACTTTGGAGTGAAGTTTGCACAGAACCCAGATTTGAAGACTACCTTTTGGAGCATGAGTGTGCACAAGGAGAGATTTGCAAGAAATATATTAGATGCCTAGGTATAATTAGATGTTGTTGTGTATGTCTCTAATACTGATATGGTGTTGAGTAATATTATAGATCCACTTTATTTTGTTATATTGTGACTTTGTTTCATGACATTATGTTTTATACTGTCTAATTCTGCTATTGATATGGTGTTGTGTATGAATTTAAATTTGATTAGTTGTTGTGCCTCAATTTTGACCATATAAGTTAGTATAATTGTGCTTTTTTAACACAGAATAAATAGGAAGCAAATTATAGGAATTGTACTTTTACATATGCTTTCCACGGCTTTATGCAGATCATTGTTTGAATCTCATTTCTTCATTCATTACTAACTTATATGGTCAAAAAATTTGGTTATGGATGGTCTTTGTAAGGATAGGTTTGTATCTAAGACCTTGGCTTAGTTCTTACAAATCAACAGGAAGGCACTCCATATCTGCAGCAAATTTAAAAATTTCTTGTGAATCCAAGTTGATCTTCTATGTTTTATTATTGCTAAAATTTTCTTTAACAGTTACAATGCAATGTCACGAAATTGTTAGTGCCAGTGTATGAATTTCCTTTTAACAAGCCTTTCCACCTAATCAATATGGCTTTCATTCACTATGGATCAAGGTAATTTAATTACTGATCAACATGCCAGTAAATTCAAACCCATGTCTAATATGTATTGTTTGATTCCATACATATTACTATACCAAATGCATTATTCCTTTTTCAACAGAAAAATAGTACAAAATGTAGTACTTCCTTAAAAATGAGAGTATCATTCTCTATTATATATTACAAATGTCATACCCTCTATAGGGCATGAAAAACCTAAGGTTCATTAAAACTAAAGACACCTCATTTAACATTGTACATAACCAAGGAAATTACTAGAGCCAATACAAGTATATTAGACTTAATCCTCTTTATACGCAACTTTCTTTTTAGCTTCTCAATTTTCCTTTGTGATTCTTCAGGCAACATAACGCTTCTCAAAGACGGTTGTGATGTTACCTCATCCTTAGTACTTGGAACATCATATATATTTTCATCGTCAACCCATTTAAAATAACCACATGTTCTGTCTTTGTTTTGAATTGAATATGTATTGAGAAAATATAAGACAATGAAATCAAAATAAAACAAACAAAACAAATTTGCGTTATCAAGCTTACCATTCAATTGGGACACTCCAAAATTCTCTTCCACAACTAGCTTGCTTCTTTGAGACCATTAAAATCTTCCTATCTCCACACCCACAAAAAGGATTAGCCAAACTCTGTCATACGGTAGAACATCGAGACCTACAAATTTTAAATAAAATTTTTGAGAGGTATGAAATAAATTTTGCTATTAACGCAACTCCAATGACATAGTAATATAATTTTAGAGAGGGGAAAAGTAAGGTTCACCTCTACATTCCTATTTTTAAAGAACTTGTCTTTTTGAAATATCACTCGTGTAGTCAAATCAAGCTTTTCACATTCAATATAATGATGATCTTCCACTTTCCAAAAACTTGTGAACAAGCAGTGCCATATAGCAAACCAAATATTTGCAAATATTTATCATTGAGAGAGCATCGACAAAGGAATGAATAAAAAATTAGTACATGAGTTTGCTTTATCGGATGAAGCATTGTTGACAACTAGTTTGGAAAGGGAACACCAACAAACACAAATAAACTACTACAATACAAACTGCTATGTGCAAGAGAACTTTATTTTGCCATACTTGTTTAGATTATAGAATTATTTTATTGTGATTCAGACAATATCAATTAACTTCAGACAATACCATTCTTCTTGGGACAATCATGGGATTGTTTGTAGTAGTATTTTGTGTTCATTATCTTGCTTCCAATTTTTCACCATCATTATTTGGAAAAATATGAAACGTACAGTACTGACACAAAAAAAAATACGAACTTGCTATAAATGGGAAAGGCAAAAAAACCCTACGTTGTCCTACATACAGGCATCAACTTTTTGGCTTTAGATGAAACAATAAAGCAATTGAAATGTCTACCAAAATCAAATTTAGGACAAACCCACAAAATAGAAAACTAGGGATTATGGTTTACCTTGTCGCCATCAAGTCTTGAAATAGATAGCACACTACGAGAAAGAACAACATAAATAACACACAATCGCGTTATTTATTCCTTCTCAGTTTAGTTCAGACCAATAGCCTGCAAGATCTAAAAGAAGAAGCGTGATTTCAGGGCAGAGGGATGCTTGACGGAGTAGAGACCCAATCACCGACACAACATGATTGAGATAGGGAAGAGAAGAATAAATCGTTTGTGTGGAGGCAGAGAGGGTCAAACAGAAGATGGTGGGGGTGAATAAAAATTTTATGGTTCTGAAGAAGAAAAGGTATATTAAAGTTAGTATTAATATTTAAATTTTAAAAATTATTTTTTTCTAATTTTAACTTATGATTTTCACCAATTTTATTAAGATAAATAGTAAGAAAATATTCTATAAAAATAATGAAATAGTATCTTATAATAAAAGAATATTTATTAAAAAGATTTTATTAAAAATTTAAAATAAATAATTAATAATAGTAAAATTTTATTAAAAAATTATTTATTATATTTTTATAATTTTAATATAATAATTATATTTTTTATAAAAATTTTATTTATAAATATTTAAATTTAACTTTTTAAAATTGAGATTAAAATTTTTTTTATTAAAAAGATTAATTTTAGTTGGTCGTACTATTTTGTCTTACTGATTATTTCATTTGACAATGATAGTACTGCCAGGCTGATAACTCAATTATTTGAGTAGTATTATGTGTACAATAAATCTTCAAAATAATTTTTATTGAATTTATATATAAAGAGTAAAAAAGATTAAAAGCATCGTTGATATGTATCAAAAGGAATAAAAGATTGGTGTTAATTTCAGATATCAGGCAAGCGAGTTGGGATTGTTGGATTGGGAAGTATTGGCATGGAAGTGGCTAAGCGGCTTGAGGGTTTTGGTTGCATTATCTTATACCACTCTAAGCATCAAAAAGCTGTTTCGTACCCTTTCTTTTCTAATGTTACTGAGCTTGCAACTACTTGCAACGCACTTGTGGTTTGTTGTGCATTGAATGAGGAAACAAAACACATAATTAACAAGGATGTCATTTTGGCATTAGGAAAAGAAGGGTTTATTGTGAATGTAGGAAGAGGGGCTCTCATTGATGAAAAGCAATTGGTCAAGTGTTTGATGGAAGGTAAAATTGGAGGTGCTGGTTTGGATGTGTTCGAGAACGAGCCTTGTGTTCCTGAAGAGCTACTTGCAATGAATAATGTGGTTTTATCTCCCCATTGTGCTTCTTTTACTTTAGAAACTATAATGAGTTTGTGTGAACTTGTGGTAGGGAATTTGGAAGCATTCTTCTCTAATAAACCCCTAATTACTCCAGCGATTTTGGTTTAATGACTAGTTCCTTTGAGTTTGACAGCCTAGTATAGTTTGTTATAATTTTATCTTATTCCTACAATGATTCTTAAGACGTAAATATACTTTGTTTTAGCCTACTTATGAATACTCAATTTTATTTGTGTCTCATTCAAAAATAAAATTAAAAATTAAATATAATGATTTAATTTTATAGAAGGTTAAAAAAATAGATAAAAAAATAATTTAAAATTTAAATTTTTAATTTTTAATTTTAAAATCAGATTTAGAAATAATTAAAGATTTCTAGGAGAGTGGATGAGAAAAAAAAATAATTACTGATCATTAAAAAATAAGGAATAATAGATGTTGAAGTTTTTATTAAAATAAAAAAATAAAAAAATAATTGTATATTAAATGAAATTTATGATTTTAAAAAATGTTTATAAATAGAAAGTTTAGATAACGAGACTATTTTGAGAAAGAGAAAAAAAAAAGAGAGAATTAAAACCTTTTTAACAGAGAATTTTAGAGAGAATCCGAAAAACAAAAAATAAAAAAAGAGAGAAGATCGCATAAAGTTATATGACAATTATGAGAAAAAAAAAACTTTTATTAAATAAGTGTTTTCCTTTTTATTTTTTAGTTTGTTTCTCATCATCCTTGTATCTAGTAAAGATTTTCTTTTTTTGTTCATTTTTCATCATTTCTTTATCTAATAAGGATTATTCTTCTTTATTTATTTTTCATCCTCCCAATATTTATTAAGAATTCTTCTTTTTATTTATTTATTTTATATATTCTTCTCTTCTCTTTCGTGATCTAACACTTTTTACAAGTGTGAGTGTAATAAATAAATGAGAAGAAAAAATTAAATAAAATTTCTTTTAAAATTTTTTTTTCTATAAATCATAATAATTTTTCTAACTCTAAATTTCTTCTTCCTCTGTTAAACCCTAAAAAATAAAATTTAAATTCATGAAAATTTCTGTTTTTCTAACCTTAAGTATTCTTTTTTTTGCAAATCCTAAAAAAATTAATTTTTTTAGCTAATTTTTTTTTTTTGCAATTTCTAAAAATAATATATTTTTTTTCTAAACCTAAAATCATTCAGTTTTTGCAAGCTCTAAAACAAACCATCTTTTTCAACCCTAACAATTTTCTAAATTATAAAAATTTAATTTTTTTAAATCTTAAAAACTCTTTATTTCATAAATTCTCAAAACCCTAATTTCTTTGCAAATCTTAACCTAAAAAAAAACTTAATTCTCAAAACAAATAAGAATTATTTCTTCATTATTTTTGTTTGTTCTTGTATTTATTTATTTATTCACTTGGGTCAACTCAAACTTAGGTCTTGCACCTAAATATGATTGGTAAGTCTACCACTGAAGATTTTTTGCATACACAATAACTCAAACTTAAAACTTTACTTAAGCGATATTGAGTAACTTGTCACTCAAACCAACCTTCGTTAGTTTGATTTTTAATTTTTAAAAGTTATATTTATAAAAAATTTATAAAATTATTTTTAAGAAAAATTAAAAATAAAATTTGATTGATAATTTAGTTTTTAAAACTATTTTTAGTTAAATTTTGGTTAATTTTAAAAAAGAAATAGAAAAATAAATAGTAATTCTGTTTTTTATTTTTAAAAATAAAAAATTAATTTTAAAAAGAAAAAATAAACAATCCCTAAATTTCGTATACGAAGAATATTGGAACTTAAAAAATCTTAGAAGAAAAATAGTTTAAATTTTATTTTATTTTAATAATTAAGTTTTTTAAAAAAGAGGATAAGCCCTCTTTTTGTCGTGCATCTAGCAAGTCAAAGCAAATCCCTATGCCAAAGATCACAAGACTCAACATTTCAATGGCTGAACGACAAAACAAAAATGTTGAAGATCTCCCAAAAGTGCTTGTTCTTGGACTTCACAAATGCTACGCATCGATTATACCACACTATTCTCACAAGTTCCATTTCCTAGACCCCAAACTCTCTGGGCTCTCACTGCATCACTTCATCGTTGCTCACAATCACCAACCTTCATCCATTCCCGCCATTCTCTGCAGCACCACCTACTCCATCTCCGCCGATGTCCTCCGCCTCCTTCCGTCGCTCCGCCTCGTCGTCACAACCAGCTCCGGGACCGATCATATAGATCTCAACGAGTGCCGCCGCCGGGGAATCCAAGTAGCCGCCGCCGGTGGGGTGTTCTCCGAGGATGTCGCCGACATGGCCGTGGCTTTGCTTATTGACGTGGTGAGGAAAATATCGGCGGGAGATCGATATTTAAGGACACAGAATCACTCCACATGTTTGGATTTTCCCCTCGTTGATTCTAAGGTTTGCATTTTTCTTCTCTTATTTGATATTTTTCATATATATCCTCATGTTTTTTTATACTCTGTTTTCGGTCTCTTTTTTTTTCCCTTATAAAAGATAGAAATAAATATTTTTCTTAATTATAAAAAATTAATTAATATACATGGTCTAAATATAAAAAAATTAAAGATATAATTTAACCCTTATTTTATGCAACTAAACAAAAGAATTATAAATAATATATTTTTTAATGCACTTTTAATTATTATTAAAATTATAAAAATATGAAAAAGAAATATTAATTAAAAGAAAAAGTAAAACTCACGTTAATTATAATGTATTAAAAAACTGTGATAAAAGTCCATACAAATGATAGTGCAGTAAGTCAGTAACCCATTATCACTGTACAAAGATATGTGGTGCAGATTTGAATATTTGACATTTGAACTTACACGGATAAAGGCACGTAATTGTTTCTATGGGGACATCCGATAAGATTTGGTGCCTGCGTAATTGTTCCGTTTGCGAAAGGTTTCTGAAAGCCCTGCGTCCTATTTCTAGTTATGGATTTTTGTGTAAAATGATAATCGATTAAACGTTATGGCCCCTCCTTACCATCAAATATGTGTAAACTATTCCATTTTATAATGAACAAAACAATGACAATTCTCTGACAATCAAACAAAACATTTAGTTTGATTAGCTGACATGGTAAATCTTTAGCTGTTAGTTAGTGACAATCAAACAAATTATTAACAATTATATATTAAATGTTGAAATAACTACGTCCCTAATCATCTTACGTCTAGTATGATATTTATATCATCACATACATTATTCATGACCTAATCTATTATCTTCTTCTAAATGTGCAATATACAGTTAAGTTTGTCTTGCCATTTATTTGATGTCTTTCTTCAAAATGTCAAGTTATGTTACGAAATATGTGCTAAACCATACCAAACTAACTCAATCTAGTTGATTTTACTCACACTTGAAAACATGTAAGGGACACTACAGCCTTCCAAAAATTCATTCTCTCACGACATATCGGCGGCAAGAAATTAATCACCTCAAATGTATATAGTTGTCATGTAATCTACATATCATCAATAGATATTAATCATTTTTTTCAATTAAAAAGAATAATAAATAGTAATAATATGATCTCTCTAAAATCAAAAATAATATCTCCTCATGATTAAATATGTCAAATTTATATCTATAATAAAAAAAATATCACTTTTTCTCCTTCCTATAACCTTGCTTTGATAATTAATTGCACAAATGCATAAAATAAAATATTTAATGATTATATATACGATTGTATGTTAACAAAAAAAATCAAAGTTAAATGTTTATAATACCTTGCAATATTCAAAAGATAGGCTCTTGTGTGTGGGAATTACTAGGAGTTAAGAAGGGAAACTTATCCCATGCCTATATGACGACCAAGGAAAGAAACTAACCCTCTCATATCATGCTGATCTCATTACAAAATTCCTAAAATTGCAAACCCCCTCAAACTAAATTGATTGATTACATTAGAATGCTCAAGTAGAGATAAGTCCCTCACTAAAACCATCCTATTGGAATGGTCACTCAACATAAACCCCTCATTCAACTATAACATGTAAGCTTTGGCAAAACAAGTGATTTGCAAAAGACTCTCTGAATGTGTTGCAATGTGTGTAAAATATTGGTGTAACTAACTCATCTTTAGGAAGTTACCCAAAAAGCATTGTGCCCAAGTCAAATTCTTAAGTTTTCCTCAACCATATCCACTTAGTTAACATTCTATGAGTGTTATCATTGGTCTTCCATCAATTTATAACCCTAAAATAATAGAAATGCTTACAAAGTGATTGTATACTCTCCAAGAGGTAGGTGGAATGTATAGGTCTCATACCTCCATTTCTCTGCTAGTGCAACAATGAATGGGAGAACTAGCACGAACTCGAAGACTAGTGCAATTCCAGTAAATCTAACAAGTTTCAAATTAGTGAGGATCTTAATTAAAACACTTTCCAAACTAGCTAGAAAAAACAATCTCTTCTTAGCCCTCAAAATAGAATGACCCCGACTATTATAAATGTGTTTAAATATGAAACTACAACAATAAAGGATATTTTGATTTGCAATAAAATAACATCCTCTTCTCTAAAAATGAAATCATCTACAAATAATTTTATATGTATGTAAAATATTAATAATTATAAATTGAATAATAACTTATTAATATTTATATAACACTGTAAATAATAAATTATTTTATATAATAATATTAATGCTAAAATAATATTTATATAAGTAATATTTATGTTCAACTTCCAAATGAATTATTTAAAATATATTATTATATTTTGTAATTTTATTTATATAACTCATTTATTTATATAAATAATTATAATTATTATCTTTTATTAGGATATGTGTTAAAATTTGTATAAAAAACATATATAATTTCTTATTAAAAAAATAAAGAACTTAAATTGACATGGCAAAAAAATTTGAATTTTATTTTATTTTAATAATTAATTTTTAAAATATATTTTAAAAAAATCCCTAAAACGTCTTTGTCCCCGTGCATCTAAGAAGTCAAAGCCAAACCCAAAGCCAAAGATCACTTACCATTCATTTCAATGGCTGAACTACAAAACAAAAATGTTGGAGATCTCCCACTAGTGCTTGTTCTTGGACTTCGCAAAGGCTTAGCATCCATTATACCACACTACTCCCACAAATTCCATTTCCTAAACCCCGAACCCTTAGGGCTCTCACTGCAACACTTCATCATTGCTCACAACCACCAACCTTCATCCATTCCCGCCATACTCTGCAGCGCCACCTACTCCATCACCGCCGATGTCCTCCGCCTCCTTCCGTCGCTCCGCCTCGTCGTCACAACCAGCTCCGGGACCGATCATATAGATCTCAACGAGTGCCGCCACCGGGGAATCCAAGTAACCGCCGCCGGTGGGGTGTTCTCCGAGGATGTCGCCGACATGGCCGTGGCTTTGCTTATTGACGTGATGAGGAAAATATCGGCGGGAGATCGATATTTAAGGACACAGAATCACTCTACATCTTTGGATTTCCCCCTTGTTGATTCCAAGGTTTGCATTTTCTCCGTGGATCTCCTCATGTTTTTGGTTTATACTCAGTTTTCGGTCTTTTTTTTTTTCTTATAAAAGATAGAAATAAATGTTTTTTCTTAATTATAAAAAATATAATTAATATACATGTTCTAAATATAAAAAATTAAAGATATAATTTAACCCTTATTTTATGCAAATAAACAAAAGAATTATAAATAATATATTCTTTAACATGCTTTTAATTATTATTAAAGTTATAAAAATGAAAAAAGAAATATTAATTAAAAAAATAAAACTCACGTTAATTATAATGTATTAAAAAAATGTGATAAAAATCCATCCAAATGATAGTGCAGTAACCCATTATCACTGTGCAAAGATATGTAGTGAATTACGAGCATATTTAAGATTTGAATATTTGACATTTGACACTTAACACAGCTAAAGGCACGTAATTGTTCCGTTTGCGAAAGATTTTTGGAAGCCCTGTTCCTATTTTTATTTATGGATTTTGGTTATAAAATGATAATCGATTAAACGTTTTGGCCCCTCCTTGCAATCAAATATGTGTAAACTATTCCTTTGTATAATGAACAAAACAGTGACAATTCAATTCCGAACTATATTTTTTTAGTAAATCGCAAATTTTGGAAAATTTAAATTTCATTGTTGTGGTTCTATTATCAGGTTTGAAAAACATTTCATTAGGAATATATATTATTTGAAGCATCATTGATATGTATCAAAAGGAATAAAAGATTGGTGTTAATTTCAGTTATCATGCAAGCGAGTTGGGATTGTTGGATTGGGAAGTATTGGCATGGAAGTGGCTAAGCGGCTTGAGGGTTTTGGTTGCATTATCTCATACCACTCTAAGCATCAAAAAGCTGTTTCGTACCCTTTCTTTTCTAATGTTACTGAGCTTGCAACTACTTGCAACGCACTTGTGGTTTGTTGTGCATTGAATGAGGAAACAAAACACATAATTAACAAGGATGTCATTTTGGCATTAGGAAAAGAAGGGTTTATTGTGAATGTAGGAAGAGGGGCTCTCATTGATGAAAAACAATTGGTCAAGTGTTTGATGGAAGGCCAAATTGGAGGTGCTGGTTTGGATGTGTTCGAGAACGAGCCTCGTGTTCCTGAAGAGCTACTTGAAATGAATAATGTGGTTTTATCTGCTCATCATGCTGCTGCAACTGCAGAATCCAAAATCCTTTTGATTGAACTTGTGATTGGGAATTTAGAAGCCTTCTTTTCAAATAAGCCCCTAATCTCACCAGTGATTTTGGTTGAATAACTTTTCTCTTGACAGCCTAGTAGCATGTGATACAATCCTATCTCACACCTGTCATGATTCTTCAATTAAGTTGCAAATGAAATTATATTCTCAACACATTTTCTTGAGTATACTTTTCAAGGTATTCTTTATCTTTGATCTAATTTTTTTTAAGTTAAAATATTTATCTTACAAATTAATCTCATATTTTAAACATTATTTAAATAGATCAATTACAAAAAAAATGCACTGAGTTGTATAATTAAAAATGTGTATTATGAGCATTTCTTGACTAGTTCTATCGTGCTGCTTAGTAGAAAAGGTTCATCCATGCTCCATGTCATATTAACTATTGATAAAATAATAAATTAATTAATTTTCTAGGTTATTTACATTTGATTTGCATGACAAATAACTTATTGAATTTTTAAAATTTATATTTGAGTCCCTCTAAAATTTAAAATTTATGTTCGGTTCAATTTAATATTTTTGTTCAATATTATAGTTATCTTTTGTCTTTGTCCTTTCTCAATATTTTAAAATGGAAACTCTTGATTTTAGATGAAATAACGATCTGTTCCAATTTAGGTAAAATTTTATGACTAACAAAAGAAATAGTTTAGAAAATAAGAACATAAATTTTCACTAATTATTGTTATAATAAAATATTAAATATAATATAATGTAAAGTATTAAATTATTTATACATTCATATTTTTAAGATTTATTAAAATATTATTACTATTATTTTTATTTTTTTTTAATTTATACTTTTATTTATTTTTACATTATCCTCTACTTTCAAATGTCAAATAAAAAAAATCTAATAATAACAACGATGTTTATAGTAACTTAAAAAAGACAAAGATATTAATTAATGAAGTTAAATATAGGTTTAAAAAATATCTTTTTAATAAATATTACTTTAAAAGTTAGAGAAAAAAGAAAAGAAAAGAAAAGTAAATGAATAAGTTCTAAAATAAAAAATAAAGATAAAAAGTTAAAATAAAATGAAGGGATGATTGTGACATATTTACTAGTCAAACTAATCTTTTTCTAAAATTAATCAGTAAATAAAAGCTATAAAGTAAGGTTGAGAGGTAAAGCATGGCGAGATGTGTGTGCACTGTAATATCATTTTTTCGCTTTGACTGCAGCAGAACCTAAATCGCCGGGCAACATGTTTCATTCGAACCTTAAGCAATGCTCCGCTGAGTTTATGAAAAGATGGATTTTATAAACTTCTAAATATCGCAACAAGTCTTTATGTAGTTTAGATTTAATAATCTTTTCTAAAATATTTTTATGTTATTTATTGAATTTCTTTCTGTAAGACTTGAATTGTTAAGTTATTATTTTAATCTGTCTTATATTATTCATCATTTCTTTTATCTTTCATGAGAACACATTTATGTTGAAGAATATTAGATTAAAAAAATTAAAATGAATTTTTTATTTAAAAAGTAAAAACACTTATTCTTGTATTTCTTTTTAACGAAATTTAACATTTATTTTAAAATTATATTTTATTAATTTCTTTAACAAAATTCTTACAACATTAATTATTAATAGATGAAATTTAAATAATTTTTTTTAAATAGTGTTGGTGTCATTTACTAATTAAAATTAAATATTTATTTTAATAATTTATAATGACATTAAATATAATTTTTTATTATAATAAAATTTTAATTTTAATTGATAAACCGTATTATTAACTCTCAAATAACAAATACATAAATTTTGTTCATCAACAATAATACTTTTTTATTTAACAAAATTTAAGTATAATTTATTAAGTGTTATTGATATTATTTATTTATTAAAATTTTATTATAAATAATCTATTATAAAATTTAATATAAATGTATATATTTTGGCCAATTATTAGATATTTATATACTCTTGTATAATTAAGTAGAGTTTAACAATGATGATGACTTTGAAAATTTGGCTGCGAAGTTTCTACATTGTAAAATTGGTAGTTTTTCATTAAAGTATCTCGGGTTACAGTTAGGTGTTAACCCGAGAAAGCTTAGTGCATGGAAGGGTGTGTTAGATGCTCTTAAAAAGCGGTTAACGTCATGGAAACATAGGTATTTATCAATTGGAGGTAGGGTGACTTTGATAAATATCGTTCTTAATTCTATACCATTACACTCGTTATCCTTTTTTAAGGTGCCGAAGTCGGTAATAAAGGAGATTGTCACTATCCAACGGAATTTTTTATGGAAGGGTGTTAAGGATAAATCTAAAATCTCCTGGGTGAAATGGAAAACGGTATGTAGACCGCGGAAGAATGGTGACTTGGGTATTAGGAATGTGCAGTGGTTTAATTGGGCGCTTCTTGGTAAATGGTTGTGGCGAGGTGTTAACTGTTTTAGTTCATTGTGAGTGCGGGTGTTGGAATCTAGATATGAAAGATTAGCTTCTTCTATTCAGCGTTCATCAGTTCACAACAGATGTTCTTTGTGGTGGCGTGATTTACTGGAGGTTATTCATCAAGAGAATTCATGTCTGGATGAGAAGTTTAATAGAAGTGTGGGTGCAGGTTTACATACTCTTTTTTGGAGAGATAAGTAGGTAGGCAAGGTGCGATTGTGTGAAGCATTTCTGCGATTATTTGCAGTGGTGAGGAATGCTGAATCATGTGTATTGGAGAATGATTTTCATGATGACACTAGGTGGGTTTCGAATGTTATTTGGCGAAGAGGACTCTTTCAACATGAGATCTCGAGCTTTAATCTTTTGTTGGAGTTTATGGATGGAGTTTCTATTAAGTTACTACAAGAAGATAAATGGGTATGGAAGGCAGATTCTTCAGGTTGTTATTCAGTGCAATCTGCGTATTCATGGCTATTTGAACTTTTTGGTGGTCCTAATAGTGTAGATCAGTGTACGACAGATGCCTTACAAAGGCTACGGAGAGGGAAGACTCCTCTTAAGTGTCTGATTTTTTCTTGGCAATTGTTCTTGAATGCACTTCCTTGTAAAAGTTTATTGATTGATCGTGGTGTTGAAATTGATGATATAACTTGTTGCTTATATCATGGTTTGGAGGAACTTCCAACTCATTTATTTTTAACGTGTTCAGTTTTATCTAAAATCTGGTACTTTACTGTGCGTTGGCTTGGATTCTCACTGGTTTTGCCTTCAAATTTATCGACTCACTTACTTTCTTAAATTGGTATTGGCTGTAGTAAAAGAGAAAGAATATGCTTGTTAATTGTTTGGGTAAGTACAATGTGATCTTTGTGGTTGAATATAAATAGAATTGTATTTTTAAATGGCGTTTTGGATGTGAGAGAGGTCCTAGATTCTATTATTCTGAAATCTTGGAAATGACTATCACAACTATCACTTGTTAATAAAAGAAAAACTATTATATTAGCTGATTGGTATTTGAACCCACGAAATTGCGTCTGTCTTAATTTTGTATAAATATATTTTCTTTTTATTTCTCTGAATAAGTAATTTTTTCTGTCTATATGAGTTTTGAGTTTTCTTTAAATTTTTTTAATAATATTTGTTTTACCTATAAATAAAAATAAGAAAAAGTAAAGTAATAACCGATGATAGTTGTGCAGTTATGAAAAGCAGTATTTATTTATTTATGAGAGTGACAAGATGAACAAGAACACGCAGCAATGGAAGAAGTGCTGGTGTTAGGTCTTCCATCAATCATGCCAGCATTGGAATCACTATACTCTCACAAATACAAATTCCTCAAACTATTTAACTCAAAACTCTCTCTTCTTCCCTTCCTCCAAACCCAAAACGTTACCCCTTCCTCCATTCGCGCCATTCTCAGCAACCCACTCCAAGCCCTCACCGCCGATCTCCTCCGCCTCCTCCCCGCCGTCGCCCTCATCATCACCACCAGCGTCGGAACCGACCACATTGACCTCCTCGAATGCCGCCGCCGTTCCATTCAGGTTCTCTCCGTCAGAGAAGGTTCCTCTGCCGACGACGTCGCTGAATTCGCCGTCGGCTTGTTGATCGACGCGCTCTGCAAAATTTCCGCCGCCGATCGACACATCAGGAAATGCGTTTCATATAATTTTCCTCTTCCCTCTAACTCCAAGGTAATTCACCCTTTCCTTCGCCTTATAATTATGTGTCTCTTATATAAAAAGTAAAATGTTATAGCACTTTTAATACATTCTTTATTGTTAGATTAAAATTTATTGATAATCATAAAGTTATACGAATTTTATTTTAATTTAATAAATTTTACTCGTAATATTGTAAATTTTTTTAAAAAATTAACAAAAATAAAAAAATAAAAAAAAATAAAAAAATATGTTTCACAGTTCACACTCGTGGTACAAGAATCTACAGGAATGTTCCTTGATGCTTCGCATGCCCAATTATTTTATTTTGTTTTTCTATTTTTATATTACGTTATTTATTATATTTCTTTATAGGATACTTAGGGATGAGATATACAGTGAACTTTATCTGAAAAGAAAATATGGTGCCATAAGCCTCACAAAAAATGGGATATACAATTAACTTTATCTGAAAAGAAGAAATGGTACCATGCTTGACGTGAGAAAAGACTTTCAATTTTAAAATAGTGTAAAAAATGGGTAAAAAAGCTTAAATCACAACACAATTTTATATTTATTTTTAATGCATACATTTATCGTTTTAGCAATTTTTTTAAAAAGATTACTTGAAATAATGAGCAATATATTAAATTAATTTTTTAAGTTATAAGTACAGATTAATTTACTATTTAAAATTATTAAATGTCAATTTTTTTTATTAATTCTAAAGATTGAAATTGTAGACTAAAATTAGGAGTTAAATAACTGCTTAAATGATTTATAATAATTATTTTTAGATGGCAATTATGACTTTTTAAATAATTTATTTTTTAAAAGATTTTTTTATTAACTTTAATATTGTGTTTGGGTTAGGAAAAATTAAAGAAAGAAAGAAAAAGATAAAAAAAAGTTAGTTGATTTGTAAGTTGTTTGGTATAAAAATATATATTAAAAAGTAGGGGCCTGTTGGATTTAAAAATGCTAAAATTTGAAGGATTTTATAAGAAGTATGTATCAAGGTTTAAAGGGGAAAAATTATGAATGTTTTAGTTTTAAATGAAATTTAATATTTATGTTAATCATTTGACTGAATATAATTTAATAAAATCAATTTGTCTTCAAGTACAAAATGAAAAATTGAGAATTTTAAGTAAACAAATCAATAAAAAACTAAATTTACTTAATATTTAAAATAAGAAAGTTTAATTAATTTTAAAATTTTTGACAAAATAAAAATGAACATAAACGAAACTAAAAAAAAGAGCTTAACTAATTTTAATTTTATTAATCTTTGATAGATATATGATCGTTACAAATTTAACTTGCCTATAGTATGGGCTTACAACTGGAACAGAAAATTTTGAAGCTAAAATGAAAGCTTAACTAGTTTGGGCTTTATAATATAATTTCAGCTAGGAGGCAAAAGAGTTGGGATTGTTGGATTGGGAAGAATTGGTGGGGAAGTTGCTAAAAGACTTGAGGCCTTTGATTGCAGAGTTATGTACCATTCAAGAAAAGAGAAGCCATTTGTTTCATACCCATTTTGTTCTAATGTTGTGGAGCTTGCTGGTAATAGTGATATCCTTGTGGTTTGTTGTTCATTAAATGAGCAAACAAGGCACATAATTAACAGAGAAGTGATGTTGGCATTGGGGAAAGATGGAGTTATTGTGAATGTTGGAAGAGGTGCTCTAATTGATGAAAAGGAATTGGTGGGGTGTTTGATGGAAAGAGAGATAAGAGGTGCGGGTTTGGATGTGTTTGAGAATGAGCCCAATGTTCCCAAGGACCTCTTTGCATTGGATAATGTTGTTCTAACACCTCATGCTGCTTCACTTACTAATGAATCTTCCAAGAAAAAATATGAACTGGTAGCAGAGAGTCTAGACACCTTCTTTGCTAGCAAACCACCGGTTACTCCAGAATGACTGGGTTGCATTTAAATGATTACCAGTTTAATTAAGCCTTTATTTATAATTTTTTATTATATTTGATCATGATCATTATTAAAATAAATTGAAGAGTTTAGGGTCTTCTCACTTCTTTCTGTAAAACTATTTTGCTTAAGCATGCTTAGTAGGCTTGAACAACTACGGATTCCCAGGAAGTAGTCTTAAATTAGTTGTATCTCTATTTGTGTGGGTTTGTGGTGACAAAATTGTATAGCAATATGAAACATTCAGAATGTAGAATTCTGCCTAGTTTTACAATCAAGAATCAACTTTTTATTATAAGGAATGTTCAATCTTGAATTTCTCCTCTCCTTTTAAGTGTAGCTGTCCAAAAACTAACACAACACTTTTTGCCAAATTATTACATACTTATTTCAGTTTTTCTTTTGGTAAATACTTATTTCAGTATGAGCTTAGGTGTTGACATTTTTTTCCTTTTTTTTCAATAATTTTCCTACCCTGTTGGGGGACCGCTATCAATGTGATGTATATATATATATATATATATAATTTGTTTTTGGTCAATACTATCAATGTGATATTGGCAATGTCCTTACGCGTTTTTGTTTTGGTCTAATGTCCTTCGCGCGTTTATTTTCAACTTTTCATTATTGGGAAACTTAGGCTTTCTAAAGAAAACCATAGTAAGCTCAATTTTAAGCCCATTTTTAAGAATCCAGCTTTGGAAACCCAGAACTACAGGACAGCTCACAAACTTATTGAAACAAATTTAGAACCTTGACAAAATACAAACAAATTTGGACCACTAAAAGTGAAATTTTATGTTAAGACCCCTTTATGGATTGTATAATGTGCGCTGGAAGAGAGGGACATGAAGAAAACGAGATGATTAATGATAGGATAAAAAACAAAGTAGACGTGAAAAAATGACCTGTGAGTGGGGAAAACTCATAGGCTATTAAAATTAAAAGTATTTAAACAAATCTAAATAAATTAAATTAAAAATTCATAAAACCGTAATAAAATAAACTGTGAATTTACCGTAAGTTGATTCAAATTACAAGAACTTAATTTTTAAAGTAAAATCTTAAATTCAAATATATTTAATTTATATTCATTAACAAGATACAAAAATTACATTATCACCTAATCATGGATTGGCAAATCAGCAAAAATTCTTAATTTCTGTATTAAATAATATAAAAATTATCTCAGTAATATATTATAATTTATTTACAATGGAAAATCTTTATGCTCATGGTACACTAAAATTAAGCTAAATTCAAATCTTATAAACGAAAAAATTTAGTTTTAAGAGAAATGTATCCTCTTAAATACAATAATTTAATTTGATTCGATTAATTGGAGTTTAGCGTGATTTTAGATGTCGATAGTCTAAAAAAGACACCTATTAATTTAGGGTCCGTTTGATACCGTTCTTCTCTTTTAGTTTTTTTAAAACTGTTCTACAAAATAATTTTATAGAACCGAAAAAATAGAAAAACTCATACGATAAGTTTTTTTTGAAAAATAGATTTAAGACCAAAAAAATTTTAAAAACCTGTAAATTTTGTTTTGAGAACAGTTTTGGAAATGAAAAATTAGAAAACTTGTTTGATTGATGTGTGTTTTTTTTTTTAAACAAAACCTTGTCAATGATATTTATAATTTTTATTTTATAATAAAAAGCTACTATGAATAAAATAAAAATTAACATAATAAAACATCATAAAAGAAAATCATAATGGATTTGCTATAGTAGGAAATGGGAAATTAATGGAAGCTTAGACAAGTTCTATGTTAATATAAATTTCAGTCAACTAAAAAATTTGCAAATTAAAAGTTATCTTATTTAAGCCACTCAACAACTATAAGCATGTCTAGATAAAAACGTGTTTAGAGGAATAAATGATCTACAAATCCACACGTGAAGTTAATGTACACAGAGAGAATGCTAATTATTACTTAATATGAACAAAAATTAGGACATGATGGTGATGATAAGAAAATCCTTTTTCAAACGTTTGAAATTTTATTATTTTGGAATCTAACTTTCTAGATATGCTTTAGTGGAAACATGTAGGGGCAAAGTGTTGACACTTAAAATTAAATGAGCTTATATAAGTGCATAAAGGTTTTAACTAATTGAAATTAGTGGACAATTAAGGCAAGAGAGAATCGAATTAGTTGATAAGTCATCTTGTACCTTGCTATTTGATCCACATTAGTTCGAATGGTGATATATTTTTGGAAAGATAAAACATCCCTAAGCTATCATTTTCAGCCAAAAGGGGTTTAACCAAATAGGGAAATTGAAACCACTGCATTTCTTTGTAATCAATGGTCACTATTAAAGAGTTACATCAACTTCCATATCAAGTAATGCTATAAATAGGGTTGAATATGAAGGACCATTTCTTTTTAAAATAGAAACACAGTTACATTATTAGTTGGGAATCCCAAAACCCTTTGAATAAAATTTTCACCAAAAGGAAGTTAATGTTGAAATTAGAGAAAGTCTACCGCAACTCCAAGATATCTATTTTTATTTGTTATTTAAGATTTTCTTAATAAAATTTTATTATTAATTTATTTAATTATTTAATAAAAATGTTTTAAAAATACTAAAAATTATACATTTTAGAATAGAATGACAAATGAGAATAGATTCATCTTAAAGTTATTCACACTATATATTATTATGTACCATTATTCTACAGTAGTCAAACAAGCTTATTTCTCTCTCTCTCTCTCTGTTATATATATATATGATCATGTATTACCGTTGTTCACATTTATATTACTTTATTTACATGCCTTTATTCCTTAATTTTGTTTGTATTTCTCTTAATTGAAGTGATCGATCTACATCTTAGCCTTTTTACAACAGCTTTATATTTATAGTTAAAGAAGCATAGGATTTATTTGAAAAAAGAATTATGAATAATTTATAAAAATTAATTCATGACGCTCATAAGTCATGGGTCCTTTTAACTAATTTTAATAAGTTATTTGATATAATTTATTGAAAAAAGGTTGTTTTTAGTTTATTTTAATAACTTTTATAACTAAATTTATTATATAAGTTGTCTTTTTAAAAAGATATTATTAAATAAATCCCAATATTCTCATAATTTTTTTAAAAAAACAATCATCTAATCAATAGGAGGATTGTGTATATGTAATCAATTGACTTATTTAACTCATTAGTTGAGTTAGTCAACTAGCACAAAAACGTTCACACTACATCCAAGAATATTGCAAAAATGATCCTCAAATAAATTGTTATTAACTCCAATTCTTTTAAAGGGAACATTGGATGTATTCTTTTTTTGTTATTATCTTTATAATTCTTTAAAATGGTCTCTTTCGTTATTTAGTGGTGATAATTTACGTAATCATACCATATTAACAATCGTAGTATGTATGTAACATGAGATATGTTTATATGTTGTATGACTTAGTATTAATAAATGACAACAGGAACTATTTTTTAAGAAAATAAAAGTTTAAAGATTAAAATCTAAAAAAAGAAGAAGAAATGACTAAAACTATATTTAACTATATCAATAATAATTAAAAACTTATTTTACTCTTGTTTAATCAAATAAGCATGTGTATTTGTTTATTACATTTAAACAATGATTCAACATGTTTACTAATATGATTTTGTTTTATTTTTTGTTAGAGTTTTGATATTACATTGTAGTTATACCAGAGTTAAATTGCCCCCGTTTGCTTTTAGCAACTTTAAATGATTCGGATATAGATACGGTATAAATTAACTTTGAGCAACTACTAAGAAAAAACCCATTAACTTTGTTTTTGCTTGTTTTAGTGTCCCTATCAAATAAACAACATAAATTATAGTTTTTATATTTTGATATTCATGAGGAAGATTATCTTTTACATATTATGAATTTATAATCTCAAAAAAAATTTAAAATATTTTTATTTCATTTAATATTTGACCATTAAATGTAAATAAATTCTAACTTAATTCTCTCTTAGTTTTTAATTCAGTCTATTATGCAATTTGAGCATGGTGGTGATTTTACTCAATGTGGGTTCATGCATGATAGTGATGTTATACTCATTTAGTAGACTTGGAGTTTAATCTTTAATTATTTGCTGCTTGGAATAGTTATTTGTTTAAGCTATGTGGGTAAGTTTGGAGGGTTGTGGCACACATTAAGATATTAGGCATGAAGTAAACTGGACTTAATTACGTTTAAATAAATAAGCTCTTGATGGTTTTAGTAACTTATCTTGATTGTTTCATTATGGATTAGTTTGTTATTTTTTATTACAAAAATTTCTTTTGATTTCTTATTTAATACCTTATTTTTAAATTTATTTTTTAAAAATTAATGAATCAATGCCAGTTCCTTATCAAGACCATTTTCTTTAGGCACTTGAATTTAAATAATAATAATAATAATAATAATAATAAATAGTTTTTTTTTTGTAAAATAATTTGTGTTATGTTTTCTTTTGGAATGCAGCTCTAACAAAACTTGGATTTTTTTCGTACATTCTGTGAATATTTTAAAACTTAAATGAAAACATCATCAATATTAAATAATGATAAAATCACTTGTTTTGCGAAAAAGTTTTGAAATAATTAAAGTTTTATTTTATTATACATGATTAAGTTAAAGAAATAAAACATTTAAATTTTTAAAAAAAAAACTATAGAAATAGCTTATTTGAATCAAGATAGGTAATTTCTACATCTATCAATTTGATATGGTGTGTCAGAAGTCAAAGTTTAAAATTCAACTAAAATTAGCTAAATTTAGGTAATAGTATTGAAAAATAAAAGGTAAGTTTTTGAAAGAAATAAAAATATAAAATAAAACAATTTTTTAATGCCAAAAAAAAGATGTATAAATAAAATCATATATGGATTTACATCTTACGATTTGAACATGATGAATGACGCTGAAGTCTTTTAGTTAATTAGATCAGGTTTCTTAAGATGTAAATCCACAAATGATTTTATTTATACATCTCTAATAAACTCTAAATGAATCGATCCAACGTGCACTGTCTTTAGGGGAACAATGATTTTAAGCTTATCTCCAATCATTTATATTTTCCCCCCTTCTTCCAGACATGTTGAGGAGTTAGGAACTAGGAAGGCTTGTCGTTTCTGCTGTGCTTTCTTTTATCTTTTAATTATACAAACTTTGTGTGATTAATTGTGTTAATAAAGGATTAAAGCCCATACACAATAATTAATTAATAAAATAGGGGTATTCCCTTTTGTAAGCTTTTGTGCTATATATGTAATAATTGGAACATTAAATTCCTCAATAAGATATACTATGTTGTTGCCAATTATGGCGTATATGGATATACATGATTTTCTTGCTAGATAGAAACAAAGTTTGCTGAGATTAATGACTACTCGCATGCAGTGTACAATTTCCTATTAAAGTGACATTTTGTCGTGTTGGATATTAAAGCAACCGATTGAGTCCAAATCAGTCCAACCCCAGTCGGTGAATTTTGAAGTTGTTTGCAAGGATTCTAACATAACATATTCCTCTTACTCTCTGGTCCCTGTCAGCTAGAAAATAAATCATTAATTAATTACATCCTATCGTGTTAGATTCTCGGGAAATTGCTTTAATTTTAATTTGGAAGCAGTTGAACTTGAAAGCAAACAACACCCAGTCCAAAAGGCAAACAACACGTTTTGGATTCAATTATTTACACATGTTGTCCAAGAACATTTGACACCCAGTACTTTATAATCATAGCATAAAAAATTTAGATAATCACATTTAAAATTCGATAACTACTAGTAGTCACAGGTTATATAGATCGTTTGATTTTCATATATATATATATATGCTTGATGTTTACAAATATGTTTATGTTATTTTGGATTCAAAGGCAGAACTGGAAGAGGATTAATGAGAAGGCGACGTGGTGAAAATAATTAAACATGCATCAACAAGGGTTTATATATGACTACTGAATAAGACGTCACTTGCAAAAATTAAGCAGACAATATTCGGTAGACATACCTCAATTTTATAAATTAAGTTAACACTTGTTTGTGTGTTACCTTCAATCCTTTGTAAGTAAGATTATTAGTATTATTAGTATTTGGATGAAAGTACAATCTTTCATATAATGAGTTAGAGTAAAAATAGAGAAAAAAAAATGAACATAATATAATTAATACTAATTATGGTCATGGATGATTGATAAAGAAATTAGTTAAGTCGGCACGAGTTCTGAAAAACCGATGAATCTCATTGTGTGGCTGATCAATATCATTGAGGTGCACTACAAGCATAAGCACACATCTATGATTGGGTTGCATCGTTGGAGGTTATTTATCTAATTGATTGATAACCATGCATCTACATTTTTTTTATATCAATAATGCTAGCTAGAAGGGAAGAAAATATTGGGAATTGATTTAATTTTTGTTTGTTTGGACTATCTTTTTTTATTGCATTATTTGGACTATCTGATTGCTCTGGACTGAGATGATTTTAAAGGTATTATATCTTATCTTGTTTAGATAGTAGCCAATCAAAGGTAAAGCTTGGAATTAGATCACAATCATCAAAAGTGTAAAGTGCTTGCTTTGCATGATTTATTAATGAGTGATCTCTTAATCTTCTTGCTGATTGAAATTGTTATGTAGAAACAAAAAAAAACATAACTTTATGTTAATTTTCTTTCTCTAAAGTTAAGATTTCATGTTGTATAACCTCACTATTATTAATTTTGTTTAGTAAAAGCACACTTTAGATCCTATCATAGTTTGTTTTTCTATCCTCTTCCTTAAAAGGAAATTCGATTTTCTTTTGTTTGAAACATTCAATTCAAACTAACTTAAAAATGTTATTGAGTCCCGAAAAGAAGTTCACAGCTACGTCAATATATTAATTACCAATACTGGATAAATTGGTTGCCATGCCAGCATGCATTATCCGTTAATTGGTTGTTTATGTTATGGAACATATTGAATATATATTCAATTAAATTAATTAAATTTTCAATATTTCTAATGAAAAGTCTTATAATTCTGATGACACAAAACGCAACATATTTTATTATTATATAGAAACTCTACATGCATAGCATAACACATAATTACAAAGAAAGTTCAAGACAACTATTAATGCTGACAAGAATAACTTCACTACACAAGCAAAGCAACTCTTTATTCCTACGAATATCGCTTCAGTTCTTCCATTTGCACATAAAAGGATTCTCCCAACACTAAAACTACAACTAATTACGCAGTAGACCTTTATTTTTGGTGTTTCTGTTATCTTTTTCTCCACAATTGACCCACCTAAAGCACCCTCTTTCACTTTAGATGATGTCATCTTCCTCACTCAAACAGATACATGTTAAAGCTCAGTTTATGATTTTGTTGGCCATGGAACAAGTGTGGGGGCACCCCTTACTAGTTGTTTTTCTCTTGTAACCACCTCGAGAAAGCATCAAGAGTTCTTGTGTCAGCCCTATAATGCTTCTGTGTAAATTCAAGAAGACTTGGCCATGTGAAATCTGGATACAATCTTGGATTCTCAATGCTAATTAATTCCTGTGGAGGAGTGACCACTTTGTCTTCATTTGGACATAGAAAGAAAGCAAGTGATTTTCTCACAACTTTGTTATTCACTACTGCTCTATGCAAGCAACTCTTGAAAATCCCATTTGATAGAGCCTGAAAAACAAGTCACAACATGTTATCATGTTTCAACTTTATCACCAAAGCTTAAGAACCATCTCACTGATATAACTAAGTGCATGTTTGGTTCAGCTTATTTTAAATAAGTGACTGTGTCTCTAAATTAAAGCATTTTCAGGCATGTACTAAATTGAACTTAAGTATAGCCAACTTAGTAATTGATGTATATCTAATGTTCTAAGTAATCTCATTATTTCAAGGACATTATGGACCTACAAAACAAAATGTACACTGAACCTTCCAATTATATGAATTATGTGTCAATTATTATGATGCAAAAAAGCTACTTAACAACCTTGTAATAATATGATGCTTACCATAAATGTGTCACCGATGTTCACAACGAATGCATCTTCTTTTGGAGCGACAGAGTACCATATATCATCCACAAAGACTTGGAGACCCTCAACTTGATCTTGGTGGAGAATGGTTAGGGATGTAGGGTCACAATGAGGGCCAGTTCCTAAAGCTAACTCAGGTGTTTGGCATGGTGGGTAGTAATTCAATCTCATTATGGAGTCATTTCCTTCATAGAAATCTCTGAAATATTCTCTGCCAACTCCTAGGCTCATCCCAAGAACCTCCATGATCCCAAGAGAGAGATTGCTCATGACTTCACAGTATTCTTGGTACACTCTCCTATAGCAAATTAATAATGGAAACATAAAGTATTTGATTTAATAAAAAAAGAAGAAGAAAAAGTAGCCACGGGAGGGTGGGGGCATTTTTCTGCTTTGGTGAATCTATATATATGTGATTGATGTGTCTGTGGTGTGTAGAGCCTAAGAGAGAGAAGAGAAAAAAAAATGAAGAACAGGAAAAGCATTTTATGGTATGTTCGGTAAAACTTATTTTTGGCAAACCAATCACTTATTTTTTAAAAGTGTTTATTTAGTTTTTGCAAACTAAAAAAAAAATATATGCAATTATTTCTTAAAAGTTCAAAATAAGTTAAACCAAAAATGTGTTGAGAAAAGGTTTACAAAAGTGATTAGATGTAGCAGCAAAGCTTTTTAATTACAAAAGCACTTAAGCTTGAAACTGGGAGGAAGTGAGTATGAAAGAAAAGTGCATTCTATCTTACCCAAATTGCCTGAAATCTTCTCCCATGACATTAACAAAATAGTCCTCCACAGTTTTGGTGGACTTGTCAGCAGAGTAACGGAAAGAAAGTGTTTCCTTCCAAGGAAGTTTGGAGGAGAACCTTCCTATGAAGCTATTAGCATAGCCACAATGGTCTCCAACCTTTCTCTGAGCCCTTTGTTTCTCTGACAGTTGCATGCAGAAGAAATCATCTATGAGCTTATGAGTTTGAGCTATGAGGTTGTTATCAACTCCATGATTAACAACAAGAAAGAAGCCATGCTTCCTGCATGCCTCATTCACTTTTGCACAAACATTTGACATAGCTTGTGGATCTCCTGAGAGAAAGGCCTTCATGTCAATTGGTGGAACTTGGAGTTCTGGTGGTTTTAGGCATGGCTTCTCATGGTCTGGCCATATGAACTGAGAGGGTATGATATCTTGGTTTGGTGTAAAAGATGCATCAAGTTTTAGTTTCTCTCCTTCCATGCCATTTTCTATGGTGTTTTGAGGTGTAAGCAATGATGGGTTAGGCACTGGCATGTTTAAGCTATAGTGTCTTTGATGTGTTTTCTTGTGTTGTGTTGGAGCTTTGAAGAGTGATGTATGTAGTAGTTGGAGCTAGGGAGAGATAATGTGTTACTGAGTGGCAAAGACAAAGGAAGAGGTTAATATATAGAGTATTGAGAAAGGTCAAGAGGATTCATTGGGGAAGTCGGGGAACACATATGAGAATCTTATTGTAGTTTTGTTTCGCTAGATTTTTCAATTTCTATCTCTATCACTCTCCTTATTTGAAATGTGTCTGTTACATATAGGGAGATTATATGTGCCACTGTTCACAACATACAAGTGGTGTGCATAAACATCTCCCTTTAAATAAGAAAGGGTTAATTATGTATATTATTCTTATTAACTTTGAAGTTTAATGAAGAGGGAGTTTAATTAATTAATAATAATACAATTTTATTAGGAGAACTATTTATTATATTTTTATGATTTTAATATAGTAAATGTATTTTTAATAAAAATTCTTATTTTTTTAATTTTTAAACTCGGTTAAGTCTTCTTTTTACAACTCATTTTATTCCAACACGTATTTTTACAATTTTTTTTTCTTTATGACAACACCTGTTTTGTCTTATTTTTTCTATCTTTTTTTCTTATATATAAAAATACTTTTAGAAAAAAAATGTTGGAATAAAATTTCTCAAAAAGAAAGTCATTTTTTTAACAATAATATCCATATATTTATATAATATTTTTGTCTCTCTTTCATTTTATTTTTCATTTTCCTTTTATTGTCACATCATATACTATCATATCTTTTTTTTTCTCTTTCCTTATTAGTGGGTATATAATGCTCATTTTTCCTTTTCAAAATTATCAGCACACTCTAGTAGAAATGATTATGCATTGAGAATATACGAAGAATAAGAGTCTATTTAATTTTAAATTAAGCATGGAACTAAAAAAGTTGAGTGAAGGTGTTGGTAGAACACAAATAACTTTGATGATTCTGTTCTACGTGCCATGATAACAATATTCTTGCCGGTATATATTCTTAATAATAATATATTGACATGCAAAAAGATACTCAGGGAAAAACAAAGGATCCAACCAAAGATACACAAATTGAAAAAGAAAAATTGACAAATATAAATGAAGAAAAATTGATAAAATGCAAAATTTAAAATTAGTAAGAAAAATCTTTAAAAAGGAAGATCTAACCTGAAGTACAGACAACAAATTAACAACTAGCTGGATCTGGTGGGATCCGTACTTGCTAGTGAAAAACTATCTATGCATATTCAAAAAGAAAGAAAAAAAAATGAAAGCTAAAATTCATACCATGTGGGATTAATATGATGCACAAAAATAGCTACCCTTGATATCGATAGTGCAAATAAAACTGAATATCCCTTTTAGATTCTGTTTGATGAAAAGGAAAAGTTAGATTAATTTTATAAAATTTTGTAAAAATTAAATTAAAAAGTATTTTATTGTATTATTTATTTTAATGTATAATATATTTTTTAAATTTAAGTAAATATTATATTTTAAATAATATATTTGCAAGTATCTAAATCATATGAAATTTGATACACGATTATAAAGATAGCATAAAATAATTTAATAATTAGATTGATTAAACTTATATTCTATAAAAAAAATTATTAAGTAATATAAGTGAATGTTTAAGTTTAATACTTTTAAACATTTTATTATTTTATACATTTTTAAGTAAATAAAATTATAAAATTATAAATGTTTAATCTTATAATTTTTAAACAAATAAAATTATAAATTTTTTACCTTTACAATTTTTTAGAAGACACGTAAACTACTCAACTCCTTATTAAATTCAAAAAATTAAATAAAGAAAATGCATAATTAATCTTTATTTTTATAATATTTTTACTATTATTTTTTTAAAATTTTCAGATGAAACTTAATAAGCAAACTGTCTTCTCCTCAAAAACTAATACATCGCCTAATTAAGTAGCCTACTTATCCGGGTAATGTAGAATTTTCTGCTTCTGCATGCATTTTCAATCTCGAGGCTCTGGCCTTTAATATGCCAAGTGTTTGGTATTGAAAGTGTTTTAACATTCTTAAAATAAAATTTTTATATTTTAAAAAATAAAAATATTTTAGGGTATAAATATCTAAAAGTAAATTTTTCTAAGAGAATTAGCTACAAAATTATTATTATTTTTTTATTTTGATATCATAATTCTTAATATTATCTCCTACTTCTATCATTACTTAGTGTTGTTGTCATTTTTATAACCATTGCTATCTTGGTTATTGTTATAATTAATTATTACTTTAATAAATTATTTTTTAATATTTTATTTTAATCGATGAAAACAAATTTATTAAAAATATATTATTCCTAAAGATAAATAAATGTTATACACATTTAAAAAATTAAGAATTTTATTAATATATATCAGGTACACGAATTATAAATAAATATTTGGTTACATGATGTTATAACATGTAATCAAATATTTATATGGAACGCTTAGACAGCACACGTTCTTATTTAGTTGTATAACTTGTACTTTATTCTTTAACATACTAAATTTTAAAAGTAGTATTATTTCTTGATTATGTAATATGAATATTAAACACTAATAAATAGTTACCCACCAATATTTTTTCCTGATATAATGATAGTTACTGTAGAATTTATAATTAAATATTATTATGTGACGTGGTTAATTATATATATATATATATATATATATATATATATATATACACACGCTTGTTCACTTGCGTTGTTCTATATATTTGTTATTTAGTAAAAAAAAAAGCATTATAATAACTCAAAAACGCGAAATTTTTTTTGTATTTTATATAAATTAATAAGAAATAATTAATTATAAAAAAATTAAAAAATCAATGATAAATAATTCAAAGATCTTAAATTTGAATTTTTTGTATATGTAAAAAAATCTTTAATAGTAAACCCACTCACCATATCTAGGAGTACAGTTTAATCTAAATTAAACAAGATAAAAAATTAAAAATAAAAAAAATTCAAACGAAAAGAAAATTAACAAAATATTGATATAAATGTACATAATACACATATATTAGCGCACTACATAAATAAGTCATGTACTACTTTTACAGTACTATTTTTATAGATATATTAAATATTAATATGATAAAATATTATATAACAAAAATATCATTTACTAATAAATTAAAATTGTCATGTGTAGACTTAAAAATTAAATAATAAATAATACATAATATACTCTTATTTGATATGTTGATAATTAGATATTAATACTTATTATTAGTGTGAGTGTACGATGTCTAAATTAATAGTTTAATTTTTATTAAAAATATATACTAAAAATAATTAATTAAATGTTCAATTGTTAATAAACAATATAGCTTTTACTGTATTATTTGTTACAAGTCATAATGTATAAATGAAATTTTTACTTTACATTTAGTATGTGTATTTTGTTTTCTTCATTTATTTTAGCTTTGTATTAGAGTAAATCGTCAATGTAATTTTTCTAATATTCTTTATCTTGATTAAAAATGAATTGTCAAGTCAACCAAAGTTATTAATTTTTATTTTAAAAAATATATTTATAATAATTTTTAATTGATTAACCGTATAAAAAATTGTATTAATATCTACTAAATAAATTCTTTATAAAATCCCTTTTACCTTAAAAGATTAAAGTGAGAAAATAAAATTTTATTAAATTAGAAACTAAAATTATAAATGATGAAAATGGAATTTTATTCTTTTATTTATATCACAATTTACACTTCAATTTTGGTATTGACAACTATCTTATCCTGACATAGGAAACTTACAAATGATTTCACACAGAAGAAAAACTGTTGGAATTGGATGTAGAAAAGGTGATGAATACCAAAAATTGACCATTTACTTTGTCTTGTTCGCATGTGTCTCATTTTTTGCCTAAATAATCTCAAACGCCAAGAAACATATGCAGAGTTTGGGACCTAAATAGGATAGATCTACACATAAAAATAAAATTACAGCATTACTTGTCAACATTGATCTGAAGCATCTAGCCACTGAATGTGTGTTGTTTAGTAAATGGTAACTTGTACAAGCTAAGATATGAATTTCGATTTGATCGATGACATGTCCCCCAGAAAAAAGTTAGTAATACATGCATTTGCAGCCAAACTTTGGATAAAGAAAACTCATGTCTATTATTCACTTGGAAAAAGTGGCAGAGGCAGAATTCAGAACACAGCTATCTCACAGTTAAAAGTGGCCCACATTTTCATGGCTCAAATCTATTATAATGGAAGAAAAAGTTGTCAAACAGGACAACATTTCAGTCTCAGTAAAGTTAGCATTATCAATTTTTTTGAAGGATGTACCATGCATGCAACATAGTTTGTTTCCTAAGAGACAATACATTTATTTTTCTTCACTGTATTAAATTCCTTACTCATGTTTTTGATAAATAGTTTAATTGGATTTCATTTTTAACTGTGTATATAAAAAAATAGGTAAAGCTAATTAACTTTGGTATGTTGAAAGAATTAGCATTTAATTTATTATTAGAGCATTCTTTTAATTAGTTAATAATTAGTGTAATGCATGAATGTTTTCTTTTTTAGGTAAAGAATAGGTTTTTTAATTAGTTATAAAAAATAGGTATTTTAAAATAGGTATACATATATGTTTGAATTTTTAAAAATTTATGTGTATAATGATGATATATATCTGTGTGTGAATTTCTTTTTGTATTATGAATTTGAAATGTGTAAAAATTTTATGTAACACAAAAAATCACACGGTAATATAATAGAAATACGCCTTTATAATGACAATAAATATAGGTAAATTTCCTGGTAGGTCACTAATGATAAAAGACATTAACTAAATTCATTAAAATTTAATAACAGGTCAATACTGAAAAATCCTTATTTATATGTATATGGTCAAAAACTTGTTCAAACACCTTTTGTTATTATTATTATTAAAGTAACATCTTTACATGAGAATGAATCAACAAGAA